TGGGATCCGTCGGGATCCGGGATCCGGGATCCGCTTTTTCCCCCTTGGTTTTCCTAGTGTTCCTAGGAGAGACCACGGGTTTTTGCTGATACATACAGTAAAAATGCATATCTCGGCAGTAATAAGCTAGCGGCACGAACTTTTTTCGGAGTATTCATAGATCATTAGGGCCTACATGATGCGCATACGCTCGACTCAAAAGCGATGTGACAGTTGGGAATATTCCCTCGTCAGTTCTTCTTGCTGAGTACAGATATCAACTTTTCTTTGCATTATGGTTGCATTGAAAACAAAAAGAAAATTTTTTTAAACACCTTCTCTGTTAACATCTCATTTTCATTTCTATCTTTTGAGTGAAAATTTTTACAATGTTCCAGAATTTTTAATTTAGTCCAATTCGAAAAAAATTAAAATTTTCATCCATGAATTTCAGCTCTAAATTGTTATTAAAAAAATTCATTTTAGTTCAGCTTTTAATACTCTTTAAAATGAGCTATCGCTCAAAAAAAAAATTGTACACAGAATTACAAATTTATTAAGTGGAATACTTTTTTGCTGTATTTTAATCAATTATTGATGGTAGGTTTTAAAATAATTATTCTTCTTAAAAGTCATAACACTTCATAAGTTAAAACATGATATACTTCATTTTGTGCCGAGAGTCAAACTAAAGTAATTTCAAGAAAAAAAAACTTCATATGATTCTCGAGTTATTCGATCTGCTCAAAAAGTCTCTCTTAACAAATCGACAATGTAGATTAATCGAGTTGAGTATTATTGCCTCTTTTTTGTAGCAGATATTCAATTAGACATGGAACAATATCATCGACTAACAAATTCCTGACTCGTTATAATATAACTTAATTTTTTCGACAAGAGGATAAAATAACATGTTACCATATAATGATCAAAGCCTATAACTTTATCATAGTAAAAGTGGTGATTGAAAAAAATCTAAACATTTCCATCACCGTTTGATTTAATGATAAAAAACATAATTCTTTCTGTTCGTTAGTTATAGATTCTACATCAATAGTATTTTTTCATGATAAACATAGCATACATAATTGATATCTTATTTGATTGCAGCTAAGTGCCAAATAGACAGTAATATCAATTAATGTTTTAACTATATGCATTTTTAGTCAAGCATAAATTGATTTTCACATTTGGAAGCCATTCAAATTTAAATGTTGTAGAGGCTACGTCTTAATTGCGGGCAAAAATTAAGCCAATTAGTGAAAAATGACCGCTTTTTGGAATGACAAAAATTCGATTATCTCATTCTGTACTGTGTATCCAAAAAGCGGTCACTCTTTCACTAATTAGTAGTTGCGAAATTGAATTATGATGTGTGTGTGTGTGTGTGATTGATAAATATAAAAGGTGAGAAAGAGAATAGCATTTCATTTGATACGATGGATACAAAATTTACTTGGTCAACAACGCAAAAAGGTGAAAGAGCAATCTTGCACAATAATTTCGATGCTTATCAAAAAGTCTTACGAAGTATTTCTCATCGATATATGGATGTTTTAAAAGATGCTAAAGACAGTAGCGATGATGAGTAATGTTTTTCTTGTTTTGTTCTGTTTTTGTTCATTTAGTAGTAGCATGAATAAATAACTCTCTCTACATATTATTATCATTTTATATTTGTTGATTGTTTCTTAATTGAAAGAATGACTGCTTTTTGGAAATACAGTACAGAATGAGATAATCGAATTTTTGTCATTCCAAAAAGCGGTCATTTTCCACTAATTGGCTTAATTTTTGCCCGCAATTAGGAAGCTACGGTTGTAGAAATAAACTTCCATTGATGCCTATCTTCTTTGTGATTAGTGAAAGAAATCTAACATAGACAATGTTGATCTTCTTTGTGCATGTGTTTAGAGAAAAATGAGAACTAGTGGTTAGATTTTGTTAAATCTATGGTATACTGAAAGTAACAACATCGGCACAGTAATATCTAATAAAAAGCTTGAAAAAAATAATTTCTCTCGATGTTTAGTGTTACAGCCATCTGTAAACATTGAGAGAAAATTTCTTCAACGTTTTAATAAACTTTATTTTGCCCATATAACCAGTTTTTCATTCCCTAAGTGGTTCATTGTCGTTTCAAAGATGTTTCATGAGAGAGAAAAACTCAAATTATTTAATCAGAAACATTCCAACATATATCGTACTTTATAGAATGAAAAAAAAACTGAGTTCTCAACTTCATCTCAATGATTAGCTTTTCTCATCGAAAAAATGCTTTAAACTTTTTTAGGAGGCTGTTTTTAAAGATTGTGTTATTCATTATTTTTCTCAACGACAAATTATCTAAATTGACTTTTTAATGCCTGAAATTTTTTATAAATTCGTAGAAATGGAATAAAAACGGTAATTAGCAAAGTCAAAACAAGGTCTGAAACTCTATGTGGCAATGAACTCACTCATTTTGATTAATCATTACAGTAGAGTGTTTGTGTCAATGCTTTATTCGCTTCTATTGAGAGAGTATTTCAAAATTCCTGCCGTTCGACCTACCGCGCTGTCGTTCTCGTATCACTTTACCATTCTTGTGCCGCTCTGCCGTTCTGCCGCGGCATAATAGATTTGTTTTAATTGCATTTTGACATATTGTTTGTTACATTTTATGTATATACACGTTTACAAGAAGTATATTGTTCTTTTTCTATTCAATATTCTTTAACTCTAGACTATTCATGTACTCAGAAAACAATGAATTCACATACTGTTGTATCAATTATTATTTCTTTAAGTACTAATATATCAACAGTTTTCTTGAGAGTATGAATTGAAGTTTCCATTTTATTTAAATTTTGTTAATAATAGATTCAGTTTTTCATTTACGATTGATAAAATTGTTATTTTGTTATTATTCACTTCTTCAAACTCAGATTCATCACTACCTTCAACAATTCCTGGAGATGCTTCGCGTACATTTTTAGTTTTGGACATTATTAAAGTTAAATAGATAACCAGAAAATGTATGATGCGTATAATTTTTGTGAAATGAAGATTTATAATAATTATTTTTTCTTCTTCTAAAATTTTTCTTTTTCAAACCTGGATAAGCTTATTTGTTTCATTGTTTGGATGATCATATTCTATTCCCATGTGATGACGATTAATTAACAATACATGTCTGTACATCTTTCTTGTTACATTTTCCCCTTAATTAGCTTAACTTGTATATAGGTATATCATAAATGACCGAGTTTATGTGTTGTGTTAAAAAGAATAATTAATCGTATTTGCTATACAAGAATGGATGCTATTTTATTTCACTATTTCTCATGAACTACAGTTTAACTACATATTCAATTTGACTCAAGCTATTCTCTATAAACTTAATTCATCTATAATACATTTCATCAAGTTTTCAACTACTTTTTAAAAGTTTTTATTGTGCACTACTGCCGATTATGGATAAGAATGTGAATTTTGTTACGCTTATTTTTCATATTATTCGCTCAACCATGCTTAGCTGCAGCAGAGTCTGTCATCTTTTACTTTTCGTTTTTTCATTTTCACGGCAAAATACGAGTTGATATGAAGAAGAACAGAAACTTTTTATTGCCTTTGAATCAAAATCACGTTCACATGTATAACGGCGCATATATATATATATATAAATCATTAAAATGAAGGAAAGCAAACATCATTCAATTGAAAAAATCCAGATTTATAATTTCATTGAAAAAATATTTCTTTGCATGAGCGCCAACGCCCATCAGAAAAAGAAAAGATCCATATAGAGCAACAAGCAAGAAAAAAGAGAATGAAATAACAACAAAGAACTCCAGTTTTAAAAAAAAAAGTAGTGCAGGTGTGGCACAGTGGGCAACTTTCGCATAGCAGGCGGACATGCAATTTTTCTGCTTGGAAACGGGTTTTTACTGGTCAGAATGAGTTATATATCACTTAGAAAATCTCTTTTAAACACGATAAACCATTTTTTGAAAAAGAAATTTTGTGAGAAAACCACTCGTGGGGATGCTTCCACTAATTATTCAAAAAACTTTTTTGTCAGAAAAGAAATCGTATTGCACTTCATTCGATGTAGTTTCATGCGTTGGCTCCAAATATCACGTTCTTTTTATATTACAAAGCTATCCTGATTGAAAAAAATAGTAATTTTCAGCTCAAAGCATGGGTTTTAGGATGTTTTTTAATTCGATCTCTGGCTGCTGATACGATGCAACGTAGATACCCAACGATAAATTAATATGGAGGTATACAGCTGGTAAAGACTTAAGCCTAATTGGATGAAAACTCTTTATACCGTTTGAAAAATACGATATGACTCATTTTTTTGAGCTTTACTGGCATACAGGTCAAAAACTTTTTTCCAAAAACAAAAAAACGCTTTTTATTATATATACGGTTAGACGCAGCTCGCTGAGCTGGTTCCAATTATCACCTTGGTTTTTGCAGCAAAATGATGCCCTGTTTACAAAAATAGGGATTTGGGAGCAAAAACCTTGATTTTTTAGAGTTTCATAGCATCAGCTGGGTGCGGGCGTGGGTTTGTATGGATGTGGGTGTGAGTGTGCGTGTGGGTGTGGATGAATTGAGGACACCCACCCACACCCGCACCCGCACCTAGCCATTTGAAAAAGAATAAGTTTATTTATAATTGGACTTCTTAGTTTTAGAATATAATTATACACGAAATAAAACAACAGTTAAAAAGTATAATGTAGTTTAAAAAAGAAAAATCACTGGATAAGTGGTATATTTGATACACGTATACGTATTGTAGCTGGTTGAAGACAATGCATACATCTTTGAAGTTTTTCTGGATCTAAACGAGCACAACATTCTTGACACATTGGGCAATGTTGACAAGGATCATATTCATGTGTAGCTGCATTTGCTGTACATATAAGACAACCATTATCGATTGTTTCAGGACGTACTGGAGATGGAATCCTTCGAGTTACTGGTGGACGTTCACTTTTACGTTTTGTTGCACCTGAAAAAAAAGAGAATTTAATTAGATTCAAAAAAGAAAAAAACTTGTCAGTGTAGCGCTTTTGAACCTAACAACGGCCTTCTATTTCGAGTTAGTATTTGGATAACATTTATCTAGAAAAACAAGGGTTTTTCAAAAACCCATGACGTTCTATTACGTCTTGTGAAATTTTTCTTATCAATGGCCTGTTATTCCGAAAAGTGAGGTTTACATAAAGTGACAAATCTCTAGCAGACTATAGGTATCTTTTAAGAATAATAGATCGTCTGGAAAACGATCTGTCTTATTTATTTCTGCATTCCGAACAAGAAGAATGGAGGTTGATAACTGATGAAATCGATCCGTTCTCTTGAGAAATTTGGTTTCTTCTATGTCAAACTGTCATACAAAAGTGTTCGAAAGTAATTTCTAGTGAAATTAGCCCTATAGTACTTGTTTGTGTTGTGCCTAGATCAGTTGAAATAGTCAATGACTGTCACATGTACGCTGAATGTGGCTAGTTTCCATATGGTTCGATATGTTTTTTAAGCGCTACAAAATGGCAAAGATACTATTCTCAAGACATGATTTTACGTCTTTTTGACTTGTTTTTAGTAGATTTCGATGAGAGAAAAATGCAATTTGTATGAAACTAGTATGATATTCTGAATTATCATTTAAAACTGAGTAGACTTATGTAAATTTCAAGTATTTTCATGAAGACTTTTTCTCGTCGAAGAATGTGCTCCTAATCCCCTTGGAGATAAGTCAAAAGATGAAATTCATCGAAAAATTATTTCGACAGTTACGATCAAGTTTTTGAGATTGTGAAATGTTAGTAAAACTCAAAATCGCAAATGCTTAAACAATAAAATCTGTGTTTTAATGAAGTTCATTTTTTGACTCATCCCGGGAGAAGGGGATCAGAGGCGAATTTTTCGACGAAAACAAAACAGTGCACCATTTTGTAGCACTAGCAGACTGTATGAAATCTAGTCGGATCGGTCATCAAATTGATAGATAAAAAAGTTAATTTTCATCAACAGTCGGATTCAGTGTATGCGTGACAATTATTGACTATTTCAACCTACCTAGGCAAAGCACAAACAAGTGATATAGGGCTATTTCAATCAAAAATTACTTTCAAACATCTTATTTTTTCTACCTTAACAGTTGATTCAATTGGCATATAAGTCTGTTGTACATGTCAATTATATGTACTGCAGATCTTTACATGCTATTATATATCTCGATAAGTTGAGAACTACCGATATTAATTATTTTCCAAAGTTTTAACTTGGTCAGTTTATAGTTTTTATGCTGATCATATGACGAATCATCTTCCTTTACATCTTGAATATAAATTTTATCTGCGTCCAAATAAAAAATGCACTATGTTGGACATTCACAAACATATTTCATACATTCAAATTTCAAGGACGATCTTCGTCTTATTGTTAATGCCATTCAGCACATTTTCTGGTTGTTAAGAAACACCGAAAAAGGATCTGAGACCTTTAGTTTTCGATTGCTATGGAAATGCATCCAGTGACCATTGGCCTTTGCCCTTGGTTGCTAGGTTCTAGGGAAGGAGAGTCACAAAAAACTTCAATTTAAATTTACACTCAGTATTTCCTTCGACAATATATGTAAATTCTGCCAAAAAAAATAACAACTTACCACTTTCTTTAAATATAATACGTTTACTTTTTTGTGAACCATCCAATTCATATTTTAATCGTGCTTGTGGAACTAAAAATAACAAAATTATAATTCTATATAATAACTATATATATTTAATATACTTCGTTCACATTCTAACATAATTCGATTTACATAATCACGACCGCGTACTTTTTGAATAAAATCACAAAGAGGAAAAAATGTTGCATGTTCTTCAAATGGACAATCACTAGATTAAATTTCAAAAAAAAAATTCATAATTATTTCCATAGAAAGAAAAAAAATCAAAATCTATTTAAATACCGTGATTTAAAATTTTGCAATTTATTACCACAATAATAACAACAAACATCACTTCCACCCATATAGAAAAATCCAGCTTGAGCCATCATTTGATTTGAAAGACGACTACCACTTGGATAAACCCAATCAGATGTAAATGATTTAATACGTTTTTCAATGTTTGAATAAGATGGATATTCTGGATAAAGCATTTGACTTTTTAACTATAAGAAAAATCAATTTATGCTTTTCTTTTTTGTTTTATCTTAGAAGAAAAAAGTTGCATACCATTGGAACATTTGGATAAAGTCCACCGCCTTCTCGATAAACCCATGTACACCATGGATGATTCTGATCTATCATTATTCCATTTGCATATCGATGTACACGCATTGGTGTCCATGGTTCATCACTTACTGTTGAACAAGCAACAGTTGGTTGTGTACACACAATATTTTCAAAGTGTTGTTCAGTTAAATAGACTTCACACCATTGACATTGAACAGCAGTACCTTCAGTATTAAAAAAAAATCCAACATAAGCAAGATGTGCAACAGGAACTTGTGCAAACGTTTCACGATAATGCTGTTTAAATGTATCTAAACGATTTGATTCATGTGCTAATACAGAACGTATATCAACTGGTGAAGATCCAATTGAAGATAATAATCCATGTGAATAACTATCTGATGAAGTACTATCATCTGTACGTTCATATACTTGTTGTTGTCGGGTATATTGTTGTTCAAATTGATTCATCTGTTCTGTTATACCAATTGGTGTCAATTGACTATGATCATTACTAGTGATTGAATCCGAACAAGTTTGAGCTTTTTGTGTTGTTGATGATTCATATGATGGTGTTGATGGAGTTGGTGATTGCAGAGATAAAGTATGAAAACCACGATAGGCAGTAGATGGTGCAGCTACAAGTTCAAGATCTTCATCATCTGTTAGGTGTTCAGAATCATCAGTATAAGGTTCGTCAGTATCATTTGCCGACGGTGAACATGTATAATTAACAATAGTTGATGCAGGATCTGCAATCGTTGGAGATAATATTGATGATGCTTGTGTACAAAATGATGTTTGAGTTTGTGGTTGATCTAAGAAGAATACATTGGAATTTCATTTAAAAAGAAAAAGAAAACAAGAACCACAAATATTTACTTGATTCTTGTTGATCATGAAGAACTTGTGCAATATATTTAACGCCTAAGATTTCTTTAACCCATTCACATGTTGGAAAGAAATGTGCATGTAATTGTGCCATATTATATTGTGAATATTTTTTTCGTCGTATTTTATCACTAATTGGTAATGCATTACCACATTGAAAACATCGTGTGCGTCGTTGTTCTATACAAAAATCATACAATTTAAGAATGAAAAAAAAAATTAAAAAATTCTTACCATCAAAAAAAAATCCTGCTTCTGCCCTATCACGTATAGAATAATCATCCATTCCTTGTTTCTCTTTATAATTTTTAAATGAATCAATACGATCAAATATTGATTGATATCGTGGATATTCTGGAAAACGTTCTCGATGTGATATAACAATATTAGCTGGACATTTTGCACGTACCATAAGACAATCAACTGTTAATCCTTTATGTTGATCATTTGTTGTTGTTTTAATTGATTGTTTAGTTAAATAACGATGTTGTGACATAATTGATTGACCAAATTTTGGTTCAATTGTTACACCACAATATGCACAACGAATATATTTTGTATTTTTAAAACGATAAAAACCACATGCAGCTAATTCACAACATAAATGTTGTTCATTTTCTGTTTGATTATGATTATTTATATTTGATGAAGTAAATGATAAACCAAGAAGTGTTTCAAGACGCCATTTTTCATTAACTGTTTGTATATCACCAGTTTTAATACTATCAATTGCACGAACTATTTCACAATCATTTTTACGTTTACGATGTGTACCAATTGCAGTCATACCATGACACCAATCATCAACTTCAAGATCACACATAAAACATTTTACTCGTAATTCTTCACCTAAATAATAAAATCCTGTATCAGCTAATACTTGAGCTGATATTGGAGCATTTTGAGGCCATGTATCAAATGTAGCTAAACATTCATCAATTGTTTGAGGTTTATCAGTATTTTTAGACATAGTTAGAGATTTTGATGTCATAGGATTACGATCACGTCGTTCTATAAAATAATACAAAAAAAAAACAAATAGAATTTAAGAATCAATAAATTAACATTTTATTTACCTTGAGCAGAAACTGTTTGAAAATATCCAGCAGCAGCAACAAATTTTATACCAGCTGTATAAATAATAAAACGACATGGAAAAAAACGTGCATGTTCAAGTTGAACAATATTTTCATTTGTTGAACATATTGCCGATGACCAATTAATTAATATATTACCACAATAGAAACAAGTTACATCATCATTAGGTCCTAAAAATAAAATGATATGAAAACAAAAATTTCTTATCTAAAATAAATAAAA